GTAACTATTTGACCACTTTTTCTTAACTATGATAGACACTATCAGGTTCATTTTAACTAACTAGAAAGTAAAGCTTTAGTTATCATACACTGAGTTATTCATTGTGTCCGCATTCATGGATCAGCTCAATGTGACGTCGTGTAAAGGACCTCTTGTCCAGAATTGGTCTCAGAGGCCTGGCATCCAGACACTTGACGCTCCGGCGCAACCAAGTGCTCGGACGCCAGACTGGACTAGAAGTCGGTTTCTATAAAAACAATTAAAACTGTGTGTTGCTATAATCTCCAACATATCGATTTCAAAAATTATCATCCTCCAAAATTACGTGAAAATATTAATAACAATTCTAACCTAGACAGCAAATTCTATCATTAAATAATTTATTAAATAATAATTAGTACTAAAATCTTTAAACATTTTAAGTAAATTATTGTGGAGGACATTACNTAATAACAATTCTAACCTAGACAGCAAATTCTATCATTAAATAATTTATTAAATAATAATTAGTACTAAAATCTTTAAACATTTTAAGTAAATTATTGTGGAGGACATTACATTGTCCACCACAACCCTCTGGAGGACCGCTTCCTTTCAAACCGATTGGTGGAGAATCCTCCAGAGTGGAGGAGGTTTGGCAACCCTACTACCGATGGTTATAGAGGTTTGGTCACAGATGTTTTTAAACCTTTTTCCGTATTGAAAACAAGTTTAATAATAATTTAATTATTTTACAAAACTTTTCGAAACTTTGTAAAAAAAATTATTTTTAGATATAATCATAACCACTATCATAACCAAACATTATTGTAGTACTAATTATATTATAATAATAATATATTATAATATTGTATAAGTAAATATTTCAACCTAAAAGTTGATTTTTTTATCTTACTGTAACAATGTATAGTAAAGCAGTGGAAAGATATTTTAGGTTAAAATATTATTATATATTTGGGGTTATTTTTACATTCATTTAATCTGATTTATAGTGAATTCATAGTTACATAAACAAGGTTTGACAGGCAATTCGAATCATAAAAATTATAAAAATGCAGTTATATAATAAAATAAATGTAAATGTAAATGTACTTGTTTAGACTATTATTAAAAATATACTAATTTATTTTGATAAATTTTACAAAAATTACAAAAAATATTATTTAAAATCAATCAATTTTAATTCTGAAAAGTATGGTTAACATCATATTTTATGTTACATTGCTTTTATTATTAATACAATTTTTAATAATTATTTTTATCATAACCTACAAACCACAATGATTATTTTTACACCGTTTATTGAGCTTGTTCTTTTTACAATCTTGGTCACTTAGGCATAGCTTATTTTTGGACGCCACGCACCTACCATTTAGGCACTGCTGGTAAATACCATAGTAATAGCAATTGATATCTTGATAACACTGTACCACAGGACCCGGTATATGCAGTACGCACTGACCCGACACGCATTTGTGAACGACCCCGCTTACTGTACACTCGGCATCAAATGTACAGGGTATGGCTAGCACGGTCCCAACACCAAAAATAGCTAGGACTGTTAAAATATATTTCGTATTCATTTTTATGTTATAAAGTTATTAAACTTTATATGATAAAAATAACTTACTATGCTATGTTGTGAACTGTTTTTATAGCTAAATAACTTATCATTAACCTTATATTGTGTAAATAAACTGAAATAATAAATTAGACTAGCACTTTTATTTGTTTTGTTATGAAGGATTTTTATTATCATTTATCGTTTTGTATTATGAAGGATTTATTTTATTTAC